CATTGAGAAGCATATTTAAAACTCGTGTATCAAATTTTGAACAACTTAGATTTGATGTGTTAAAAATAATAAATAAAATGTTACAAACGGTCAATTTTTTACACGACAAATCCAAACTATCCATGCAACATGTAGACATGTGTTTAAAATTTGATTCGAGAAATTTAAATATGTTTCTCGTCGGATCTAAGTTGACATTGAATACTCAAATAATTTGTTAGACTAACAAAAACGAAGTATCTGAAATGATATTGTTAGTTCGGAGAAAAAATTAAAATATTTCAAAATCGGGGGATTAAAATAGCATATGGGCATAGTTTAAGGATGCTTATGTGCAATTAACTCTACTATTTTTTTAAAAGATTTGATTTTACATTTTTGGAGAATAATAAGGGCATCACCAACGCTGCAATAATGTGGAGATATTTCCAATGTAGAGTGCTCCAGCCCTGCACCACATCTATCTCCAGTATAGAGTATTGTTACAGTACCGCACCACATCTAGCGTGGTACTGTAGCTCGCGCTAGAATTTTTTTTTTAATTAAAATATATTAAATTATAAAATAGATAAAAATACATTGAAATTAGATAAATAATCATACTATTATTTTTTTTTGTAATTTTTCTGATTTTTTTTTATTTTTTTAAATTTACAAAATTAATATTATAATAGTTAAATAATGTGAATAAAGTAGAATTGATGGTAATGTAGAGATAGCACTGGAGATGAATTACTGTTTCATATTTAGAGTAGAGATAGAGATGTTGTAGAGTAAAGATGAGGACCGGAGATGACCTAAGGCTTGGGCCAAAAATAAGTCAAGTTGTGTGATGTGAGCAAAGCTTAGAGGTAGATTAGGTTGTCCCAAATGGAATTTCAATTGAGGGACTTAAATAGCTCTTTTTGATTAGTGATTTTCCAATATATATATAGGGGTGATCGTTCGATCAAGTCAAGTTGATTCAAAATATTTTTAGTTATTCGAGTTGACGAGTCTTATTTTATAACTCAAAGTTGACTTGAAATTTTTTCGAGTCAAGTCAAATTTTTGATTTTATATTTAAATTTAATTGTAAATATTTACAATATTATGATATTTTTATTCCAATTTAAATGATATTTTATAATCATATACAATATTTTCAATACATATATATATTTGTATTTTTTTCATTTGTGAATTATATATATCATACAAAGTCGAGAGATTTGACTCAAACTTAAAAATTAATCTATTAATCACTAAAAATTTCGAGTTATTCGAGTAGTATTTTACAACTCGATTTGAACTTGAATTTTTTTAAGTCAAGTCAAGTTTATGAAATTACAATTCAATGTCAATTCGAGTCGAGTTTTTTCAAGTCGAGTCAATTCGGAAAAAATCAGTTTTCCAAGTCAAGTCGAGTTTTGCTCACTCCTATATATATATTAACTTCTATTATGTAAATTTTTTTTTAGTTTTACATCTTTCTAAGACCGTGAATTGAGAGAAATTGATGGCTGAGATTAACTCCTTATTTTTTTCATTAAATATCTTCACGTTTGCCATGATTAATCTTAACCTTTAATTTTTTTTTCATTCAATGGTCCTAAAAAGATGTAAAATTAAAACAATGTAATTGGATCCTGCATATATATATTAGAAATAATTTCTAAAAATACATGGTAAAAGTAAACAATGTGTTTTTACTTAAATACCATTTAATAAAAATTATTTTTTGATTTAATATTCATTTTGATTTAATATTCATTTTGATATAAAAATACGATAGAGACGAAAATGATAAATTAGATCTATTACAAAGACAAAGATGACTCTTAAACTATTCTTGTTTTATTTCTCGTAACGAATTATTGTCCGACCATCGTAGATACATGGGCATCAAAACGATGCGTAGTTGAGCTCTTGTTTTATTTCTCATAACAAATTCTCGTCGTCTTCGTAGTTGAGCTCGGAGCAAATGAGCTCGAAGGTCGACTTTTTCATCCTAAATGCCTTCTTGAATTCATCTTCCGGATAATTGGGTTCGTCACACTCATCCCACAACAACCTTTGACCCAACCAAACTCATTTTCTGTCCTAATAACTGAATTCGCCGTGGAGCTAGAAATCTTTCGCCTTGCACGGTCGTCGAAGTGAATCTTCATCGTGGTTCGAGCCTTTCTCTTGTGGGTTGAATCGAAAATGGGTTTTCCATCGTTAGAACAACAACCATATTCTTCAACGAAAAATCTCTACTTTCATTGTCGATCATGAAGAACGTCGATATTATCCATTTTTTTGTGGAAAAAATAGTGGAGCGAAAGAGAAAGAAGAAATGAGTGTTTGAGCTGGAGAGATGAGTATTGCATTTCAGGAAGAAGAGATTAATTAAAATAGATTAATTAATTTCTTATTTCCATAAATTATTTTTTAATATTAAAAAATATCTCAAGTGATATTTTTAATGGGTTAACAATCAAACTTAACGGTCCGTCACGAATTGACTCATTTTGAGTAACGGAAGGAAACATTAGGCAGCAAACTGGAACCAAAAAAAGGTTAAACACTAAACTGAAAAAACGACATAGTTTAGACACCTTTTGTATACTTAAGCTTACTAAAAATAACGACAAACTATAATCACTTTATGAAGTTGTGACAAGTTGTTTCTTCTCAAACTTGGCAAGTTGTTTATGTCATTGACGTTTTAATCTTACTAATTTTAACACTGATATTTAAGTTTAATTGCAATTATGTTATTCCGTTGTTAATAGTTTAATGACACGATGATGTTTCAAAACGATGCCGTTTTGGCGTAATTTTTTTGATGTTAAAAAACGATGTCATTTTGTTAGTCATTTGATAAAAAATTGTTTTTTATGGGACTCGAACAAAAGATCTTCATGAACTAATACTAAACACCTAACCACCAAGTTAACTTAAAAACTTGTTATATTCTTAACAAAACTAATGTATATGTTATTGTTATTTTCAGGATTGTAAACATTTGCACCAAAATGACGTTTTGGTGAGAGAGCCACACCAGCAATGTCACGGCACAGAGATACCATGTCATCATGCCGTTAAATCATTAATGGTGGTGGCATAATTACAATTAAACTTAAACATCAGTGTTAATATTGATAAAATTGAAACGTCAGCGGTATAAACGAAACCGAACATAAAGAGGAGTGATATTTGAAGCAATTTATCCTAAAAAAATCGATTTAACATCAAATTCAAATTAAATTGTATCCCTAATTAAAATGCAGTGACTGCTAAATTCTAGGTGGGTCTTAAGCGTGAGGCCTGAAGTCACTGATCTCCCCTTCCGTGAAGCCACGTGTGTCAATGACTGCTATTTATTATTACGGTAAATGACACAAATCATCACTGAACTTTACTTCTCTCTTTTTTACTCACTGTATTTTGAATTCATTCAATTTTCTCACTGAATTTAACACAATTAGTATTTTTGATCACTCCGTCGTTTTCTCAATAAACGACATTATAAATGAACTGTTATATAGATGCAAACCGATGTCGTTTTGGTGAAAATTTTATTTTTCTAAAACGACATTGTTTTAACGCCGTTGAATATTTAATGACGGAGTGATAAAAAATGCTAATTGTATTAAATTCAGTGAGAAAATTGAACATATTTAAAGTACAGTGAGTGAAATAGGAGAAATAGTAAAATTTAGTGATGACATATGTAATTTACCCTTATTATTATTATTATTATTATTATTATTATTATTATTATTATTATTATTATTATTATTATTTGAGACGTCACGTTACCATGTGAGCTCTATTTCATTTGCCTGTATTGGACAAACGCATGCCAGCATACGACCATGGGACAATGACCATGTAGAAAAAGAATTCATCATGGCATGGAGATTAGTATACTCTAATACATGTTATATTTGAATATTTTAAAAAACAAATAAATAATTACTTTTACGATAATTTAATAGAAAGTGCTTATTTTATGAAATAGTCCTCTGAGTATAGAGCTTTATCTTTTTTGTTATATTAAAAGTTACAAAATGGTCATATGACTATTAATATGTTATAAATTCATCATTTTTGTTAAAAATGATGATAGTTTGAGTTGAACGTCTAACTTAGATTGTCATTATTTTTTAACAAAAAAGTGACGAGTTCATAATATATGAATAGTTGGGTGATCATTTTGTAACTTTTAATAGTTGATAGACTCAATAAAGCAACATCTTTTAATCAAGGAACCATCTTATAACTTTTAATAGTCGAAATACTCAACAAAACAATTCTCTATATTCGGAGATCATTTGTGTATTACACCCAAAACAAGTATAGGCATGGTGATTAAAAACAAATGGCAAAAAGGCATCAGAGGTCTATATACTTTTAAAAAAAATCAATGTGACCCTCCTATTATCTTTCTCTCAATGTGACCCTCCAATTCAGAAAACAAATCCAATGTGACTTTTTGACCAATATTTTTCATTGTTGACGTTATGGTTCTGATGTGGTGGTTCATGGTGATGACATGGTAGTCTATTTGTCATGTTTAAGTTACCAATTTAACACATATGACATGTCATTTTCCACGTAATCAACCACAATGAACTATCATGTCAGCACGGTGAATCGCTACATCAATACCGTGAACTACCACATCAGTACCGATAAACGACGAAAAACGTTGGTCAGAATACTACATTGGGTTTATTTTCTGAGTTGGAGAACTACATTCAGAGAAAAAAATAAAACAAGGGCCACATTGATTTTCTTTGCAAAAGTATAGGAATATATGATACCTTTTTACCAAAATAAAACAATTCAAAAAGTAAGTAACCAAATTAAAAAATTTAAAATTGAATGATTGAAACATAAACATGATCAAAATTGAGGAATAAAAAAAGGTGTAGTTTTCCATTTTATTAAACATGTAGTGAGCAATGATTGGTGTTGGTTTAGATTCTAATGGCTATAGCCTATGGCTACAGGAAGAAGAAGAACGTCCATCCAATGTGCGTAATCACACCCGAAAAGAAGCCAGTTTTTCTAACCAAGAAATAAAGTCGAACCTTCGTCTTCATCACTGTGAATGGTACAGTCAACACAACCTGGGATAGGAAACCAATAAGGAAAATAAAAGGCAAAGCCCTACGATTGTGAGCTTCTTTCGCTTTTCTCTAAGCGTCAAAACCACACAATCAATCCACGAGAGGGGCGGAACCAGGTTTTCTCGTAGTCAAACAGCTAATTCTCCTATAAATATGGGGTTTTCTCGTTTTTGCCTTCGTTTCCAAGAACTCGTCCCCATGTCCCGTTGAATGGATTCTCTTCTCTCCCGTTAAATCTGGGTATCTTTAATTTGTGAAAGTTGGTTCGGTTAATTTCGGTTCTTATTTCGTTGTTTGAGCGGTAGTAGCAGCAGCAGCAGCAGCAGTAGTTCTGGTGGTTTGAAGATTGAATGTTCGATGGCTTCTTCCGCTTGGCCTGAGACACCTAAGCCTAAAATCATTACCGGTCCCGGTGGTTATGTTCTTGAAGATGTTCCTCACTTGTCGGATTACATCCCTGATCTTCCCGTGAGTATACTTTATTTGTTGCTGGTGAAATGGCTTTTGAAAAGTAAAAGCAAACTAACTTTTCATAAGCTCGATTTCCCAGTATCTTTTTTTTTTTTTCTGGGCACAAATTACAGTTCTAGATTCCATTTTTGCATTTATATCTTCTAAAGTAATTCCTACAAGTCTATATCTGATTTTCTTTCGCCTTTTACATGTAAGGTTTATACCAATCCGTTGCAAGACAATCCGGCATACTCAGTTGTTAAGTAAGCCTCATTTCACAGCTCTTTACACACATACATATATTCTTTGTCGATTCTGCTATTAATTGAATCAATTTCCCTGTTCCACCAGGCAATATTTTGTCCATGTAGATGACACCGTTCCTCAAAAGGTTAGCCTTTCATTCAATATCTGATATATCTATATCTATGTATATCAACATATATTCAGATATAGGTATGAATCCAAATATTAGAAGAAATTAAAAAAAAAATGAAGTATACTCGTATGGGGTATGTACTTTTAATATAGTTTTCGTAGTTTTCGTATATTTTCGTGTCTTTACAGATTGTTGTTCACAAGGATAGTCCCAGAGGAGTGCATTTCCGACGAGCTGGACCACGTCAAAAGGTATGCATTTAACACTAATGTATGAAATGTGGAATGGTGGGACTCTAAATCGTGTTTTTACAATGATCTGTTGGGTATTTGATGGTTTCCTAGGTATATTTTCACTCTGATGACGTACATGCCTGTATTGTAACCTGTGGTGGTCTTTGCCCTGGACTCAACACCGTGATTAGAGAGATCGTATGCGGCTTGTACCACATGTATGGTGTGAAGAAAGTTATAGGGATAGATGTAAGTGATTATCTGGCCTCGAGTTTGTTCCTTTTGGAGTAAGAGAAGTTTTTGAACCATTAATATAATTTCTGGCTTTAAATTGCTAATAAAAACATCCCATCTAAATGAATTAATGAAAACATATAGATACTTGCTCTATGGACTTCCTCATTAAATGTGTCAACCTACCATTTTCATGGTGATATGTTTTTCACTTGGTTAGATGTTTTATAATAAATGTCTTCCATCATTGAATGAATTTTGTGCATTTGCAGGGAGGATACAGGGGGTTTTATGCTAAAAATACTGTGCATTTAGATCCCAAGGTTGTCAATGATATCCATAAACGTGGTGGAACAATCCTTGGAACATCACGAGGTGGGCGTGATACCGCAAAGATTGTTGACAGCATTCAGGATCGAGGGATTAATCAGGTCTGATAGAAACACTATGATATTTGTGGGTGTTGCCAATAATTTGAACTATAATTAGTTATTATGATCAATACATACCAATCTAACTAACATATGAGTGTCTGTGGTACCGTAGGTTTACATTATCGGTGGAGATGGAACTCAGAGAGGAGCATCTGTTATTTTTGAGGTGATTCTATGATAGGATATGCAGACATTGATTTTCTAGGCAAGTTTACGCGTATTGAAAATAAAAAGTTTATTCCATAATTTACAGGAAGTTAGAAGGCGTGGTCTTAAAGTTTCAGTTGTTGGAATACCTAAAACCATTGACAATGATGTCCCGGTAATCTTCTTGGCTTGTATAAAATGTTATTGAACCAGAACCTGTTAGAAATTGCAACCTATTTTATTTGGTTACCACTCGGTCTCTTAAATTTGTTTCTTTTTCATGCATGATAGGTTATTGACAAGTCCTTTGGCTTTGATACTGCTGTTGAGGAGGCTCAACGTGCCATTAATGCTGCTCATGTTGAAGCTGAAAGTTTTGAGAATGGCATTGGCCTTGTGAAGTTGATGGGTCGCTACAGTGGTAAATTTCTTGTTTGGTATCTCTTGGAAGTGTTAATCTTGTGAAGTTGATGGTTTTGTTCCTTTCATTTATGCTTTTGTTCTAAAGAGGAGTTTACATTCCCTTTTTATCATACTTCTTCGTTTCCTGAAACTGTTAGATTGTTCATTGTTTTTATTCTTAGTGCAATCTAACCCTCAGTTATATTCAGGTTTTATTGCAATGTATGCTACCCTTGCAAGCAGAGATGTGGATTGTTGCTTGATACCGGAGTCACCCTTTTATCTTGAAGGACCCGGAGGACTTTTTGAATACATTGAGAGGCGACTTAATGAAAATGGCCACATGGTTCTCGTGATAGCAGAGGGTGCAGAACAGGAGCTGCTTGCTGAATCAATTACACAGAAAGATGCTTCAGGAAACAAGCTTCTCCAGGATGTTGGACTATGGGTATCACAAAGGATCAAGGTATGCCGTATAGCTTCGACTTTGCAACAGTTCACATACATGTAATGATTTAGAACATGGAAGTTTTTGATGCGACATTCATTGGTTTTTGCCTGTCATTTCCAGGAGCACTTTTCAAAAGAAAGGAAGATGACCATAAACCTCAAATATATAGGTCAGTCGAATAAATATTTAAGATTCTCTTTGAAGATTTCATTTCTCAAGAGGAAAAGAAACCATAGGTCTTTTTCAGTTGAAGTTACTAGGTAATGGCTTAAGTTGCTGAACATTTTTCTTTCATCTTCTCGCAGATCCTACTTATATGATTCGTGCTATTCCAAGTAATGCATCTGACAATGTTTACTGCACACTTCTTGCTCAAAGTGCTGTTCATGGAGCAATGGCCGGGTATACCGGATACACAAGCGGTCTTGTCAACGGCAGACAGACATACATACCTTTCTACGTGAGTTTGAAATGAAATAAAGAGCTTTAATTTGGAAATTTAGTTAAGAAAATCAATGTTTTATAATACATAGTATTCGGAGAATGTTATTTTAGTACCCATTCTGCAATGTGGAACCTTTCTGGTTCTCTGAATGCATCATCTCTTATGGTGGTCAGTTAATTCCAATGTTCAGGTTCTAGTATTCCTTGTAACACTTGCATTCAATTCTTCGTTGTACACTATGCTATATCAAAAGTCTCTACCAAAGAATTTGCCTTTATTTATGTGTGTATATATATATATATATGTATGGACTTCATAAAGGTGGGGATATAATTAAGAGATGGATGCAGCTGACCTTAAACCGTGTTTGATATTTTGTGTGCAGCGGATTACTGAGAAACAGAACAAGGTTGTGATAACAGATAGGATGTGGGCAAGGCTTCTGTCTTCAACGAATCAACCAAGCTTTTTTCACCCCAAGGATATCATCGAAGATGAGGTCGATGAAGCAAGTCCATTGTTGGATAATGGAAACTGCAACCCCAGTTGAAGTTGATAGTTTACCAATGCTCACGTGCAGTGCGTAGATTATAATAAGTAAATTAGCCAGCTGCCTAGTGTTCTTCCATACATCCTAAAATGATCCTGTTGTGTTCTATTCAGCATGCTGATTTTCAGGTTTCCGGCTTGAATTTTTATCAACTTCTGTTTGGGTCTCGGACAGACCTTAAGCTTGAAAACTTTATTAGATCTTTTATTTACTTTATTTTAATGAGTGTTATTATGTTTAAGCTTTATTTACGACTTGGAATCTGTTCTAATAGCAGCCACAGCCTTGTTTACATATTGGTCTAACATGCATCATAGTTTTTGAGTTCTTTGTAATCGACTTATTTGTCATATCTTTTTTGTTATTAATTGGCAAAAGAATCCGTTGATTAAACATTTAACGTAGTTGATATCATTGTCATCGAATACTATTAAACATTACAGGTTCAAGTGAACTTAAGAATGGCTTGGTCCTTATCTGCAACAAGCAAGGGCAGTGTCATCTTGCCCACGACGATGGAATAGCTCATCTTCGAAGGCGAGATTGTCCGCAAGGGGCTATGTTCACACCCTCCAACAGGCTGTTTATAATTCCTCCATTGACATATACTGCATTTAATTTTTCTTTAGTGGCATATTGCTTCTAGAACTGATGCTTAGCCAGATATTCAAAGGCCTGCAGGCTTGTCATCTTTTCTAGGGTCGCTAACAGCAGTTAATTTTCCATGAAATATGTACGAATCCTTGCCGAATTTACGACCTGCTACTATTGGTTCTTGGAGTGTTTGAACAACAAACTGAACGATAGCTCCACCTGACTTTGGCTCCAGCTGATGCCCCTTCGCTCTCAGGAATATCTCTGTCTCCTCTGCAAACTCGATGTGATCACCATCGATGCAAGTCCAGTTTTCATACGAAACTACATTTGGAATTAACTGCAGCAAACCAAAGATGAAGTTGATTGGATAACCTTTCAAATTTAACTATTATATCTTAGTATTTGATCGAATCATACCTTGTGGTAGATCCTTGGATGTTCTACTGCAGCCAAAGGTTCCATCCCCAAGGTAAAATGATTTAGAAAAACCTGGGTTACTGCTGGTATTATGTTCATTCCGCCACTGCCACCAATGACTCCGGTCAGCTGATTATCTTGCCAAAAGAGGTATTAACTTTAGTGAAAGGGACAAGACACGTAGATTTATCGGCTGCACGATCGTACTCGGAATCTCTGAAACCTTGGTAATAATAAGTGGTGTCATGGAAGATAGAGGGCTCTTGTTTGGTCTAATAAAGTTAGCCGGAGCAGGAGGGAGCATGTCTGGGGATATCTCTGTTGGTGCTGAGAAATCGCCCATCTCTTTGTTAATGATAATCCCGGTGGAAGGTGATAGCACTCCAGCTCCGAAAGGGTAATTTACAGTGGTGGTCATTGATACTGCATCGCGTTCAGCATCCACGACGCAGAAATGGCTAGTTCCGTGGTCTCTAAGTTGACTCCATCTGGTAATGAAAAGGATTACAAAAGCTCGGAAGCTCCATTGACAAGAATTTAAAGGGTTTGTTTGTATACCATACATACCTGCACATATAATAGCTTGCAGGGAAAGTTGTGTCGTCGACTATCTTTTCCTGGATTTGCTTTGCATAAGAAATAGAAAGCATTTCGGATACATATTCGGTTACGTTAATGAAATCAGGGTCACCCAAGTTCATTCTTTCAGCAAACATGTGTTTCAATGCTTCGATCAGGCGATGAAGTCCTAGATCGCCCTTTGCGGCATTGGCACTTCCATAGCTGTCCAAGATGTTCATGACCAGAGACATGCCAAGTGTTCCATATAGTGTAATTCATCACATTTGCAGTCATTGCATCTGTAATTTCTACCTTGTAATTCCTTAAATCCTCCATACCTGTCTACATCTTCGACCATTTTTTCTCCGATAGTTCCGTTATATAATGCTCCTGGTCCATGTTCTGCCAGTTCCTCGAGGCTGTGTGCCAGCTTGACATTGTAGCACTTTTCACTTGCTCGTAACAACTTTCCCTCTGGTGCAAACACCTGCCTCTCGAAGCAATGTTTAATCCGAGGTACGGTTCAATGACGAATCCGTCTTTAGCTAGTTTAATTGCAGGCTCAAATAATGTGTTCCAATCTAGTCGACCATATCTCAACCAAGCTTCGTGAAGGCCAGCGATCTCACCGGGAACTCCCATCGACAATGCGCCATGGTACTTAGCTCTCATATCATTCTCATACATGATCTGCAGCTTAACAATAACAACATATTAGCATGCACAATCAAGACACAAGCTAGGAGCCTGGGCTCGAGTCCTCTGCAAAGGATAATATTGAGAATGATTGTTGAATTGGAATAAGTTCGGCAGCGGATCACGGGATATCAGTGATCTTCTCTGCCTAATGAACGGGGATGCCGATCTGAAATTGTTTGCCGTGCACCCTCCCCAAGTTTAAGTTTCAACAAAAATACACTCATAAGGGTAGATTGACACAACATGAACTAGAAAATCGTTTGCTGTAACTCGATCATGTGTTGAGCAATACTTAATGCCTTGCAATTGAAGATTCAACTAATAATGGATCAACTCGTCTTAGAAACAACATAGCCAAAAGAGAGAATTCCGAACCTGCGAAGAGGCTAACGGAGCAATTTCTCTCGAGTCGAAGGCTTGAACTTGTGATGATGAAGACCAAACAACCATGAAAGCTCCACCTCCAATTCCGCTAGCCATCGAGTAGACAACTCCGACGCACAATGTCGTTGCCACTGCCGGCTGCCGGCTGCCGCGTCCACCGCATGCCCACCTTTTTTGAGCATAAGCACCCCGATTTCAGAACAACGGCCATCGTCCGCGGCAGCAAGTCCGTGCTCCGACTAGACACTATGGGGGCCACTAACTCCAACCCTTCTATCATACTTGTTCCCTCCTCTAACTAGCGAGTAGCTAAAGCCATCTCCGAGTATTATCAGCCCAACAACTGAAACATACACCACATCCCAGCATCAAACGAAGCATACAAGACATGATCATAAAACTAAATGAAACAAGAAGAATCTTTATCCCTGTACTGATATAATCATGGTATCAGATCACAAATAAGACATGGTTATATTCAAAAGGATCAAAAAAGAAACTCTGGGTATTATTTATTAACATTTGGCAGAGCAACTGAACACACACACACATATATATATATATATATATATATGTTGACTTTGATGAAATGGACAAGAGCAGGGCAATTAAACCTGGAAACCCAGAAAGAAAACAGACAGACAAAACCAGTCTTTGATGGGAAACATTAAACTACAAGAAATTACAAGATGAAAAAGAAACTGACTTGAAAAGGTGACACAAACAAGGAAGAACCGGAGAGCTGTGTTCCATCGATTGTTTCTCTTGTTGTTCTTCTCGTTTGGCACCAAAGCTAAAAGGGGAGCTTCCATGGGAGAAATTGTTGCTTGTTTTCCCAGAAAATTTTTGCAAAGCGTAGGTGTGGAGAATGCGGGGTAGTGTCAACCCTTTAGGTAAAATTATGTATATACAAAATGTAAGATCGAATCACCAAAAAAGAAAGCGCAAATATCACGAATCAGATATTAAAAGAATTTGAAGTGGGGAAGCAAGCGAGTTGGCTCATTGCTAAGTTGAGTCACTGGATACTGGATTGGAGGGTTGGAAAAGATTCCACTGTCTGTTGCCCATAAGAATGAAATATTTTCGGTCCAATTCTACCAGTAGTCCATGCACTATGTTTATTTTGTGGATTTGATATATATAATCTGATTTGATCAATTTTAGTTCGTGTGTTTTTCGGATTTTTAATTTTCAGTCCCAGCTCAAATAATGTTATTAGTGGTGAATAAAATTCAATTCGTCAAAAAAATATTTTTATAACTATGAGTTGTTCGAGTGATTCGATTCAACTTAAATTTTTTATTCAAGTTGAATTTAAATAATAGGAAAATCAAAAAATTAAAATGATGTTGTTTTGATCTTTTGCTAAATAATTTAATTATTTTATAATTTTATCATTAAATTCCTTCTTTATTTGATTATTTATTTGTCTAAGGTTTATTTTTTTTATTAAATTTAAACCGCATGCTTTTTCACAACTTCAGAGTACATGTTAGTATATTATATAAATTTAGATGATTTTGATTTATTAAATAATAGGTAAAGTACATGGCTGGTCCCTCGATTGTAAGACACTCTTTTATTAAGTCCCTTGATTACTAAAAGTTACAAAATTGTCCTTCGACAATTGAGTGTTGTTTTATTGAGTCCCTTGACATCAAAAGTTACAAAATTGTCACATGACTATTCATTATGTTCCAAACTTGTCCTTTTTTGTTAAAAATTTGCCAATATTCTGAGCTGAACGTTAACTTGCTAACTAGATATGATAAAATCTGATCCCAGAATCTCAAATGACTCAGTCGTCATGTTAACGTCTACCTTAGACAACCGTCAATTTTTTAATGGAAAATGATGAGTCTGGAACATAATGAATAGTCAGGTGACCATTTTGTAACTTTTGATAGTCAAGGAACCCAACAAATCAACACTCTATAGTTGGATGATCTTTTTGTAACTTTTAATAGTCGATGACTTAATAAAGTACCCTATAGCCGGGAGCCATATGTGTACTTTACCCTAAATAATATTATAAATCTTGGTATAAAAAAATATAAATCATTGTATTCAAGAACAAATCTACCTTAGCTCCATGGAGGAAGCTTTCTCAATCCTTGGATGTTATTATTTACTGATTTTTTGGTTATACTACGAAATATTTAGAATAATCGAAATTCTTTTGTTTACGGTGATAGGTTATAACCACCTTAAATCTTGATAACCAATGCGAAGATTCTACATCAAGGTTAGTTGAAAGCGATTGCTAAGGAGAAGATGGAGCATTGTTCCAGCATTAAGGTGGTTAATTGAAGGATGTGGTGGGTTGTGCTCGATGGATGGCTCCTATTGTGGAGTGATTAAGATAAATACCGACGACGCTTATGATGGTACTAAAAGGATATTTTTTTTGGCAGATTTCACCCGACACTTGAGCTCTTCCTCGGTGCTTCACTCTGAGTTATGGGGTGTTCTTGATGGCCT